TTACATTTCTATTAGATAATGCTGGACTAAACCAAAGATTATTTTCATGTACAAATCACATCTAGTCTTTTGTATCTAATTCTCTGTGTGTCTTGGTAGAAAGGAAATTTGGTTATAAGATCTAAATGAAGACAAGGCACTCATTAGGCCTATGTCCAGAATAGCCCGGAAACATAAGACTCTTTATGTTTTTAGATCTATCAGTCAGTATATCTTACAGTTTAGTAGGTTCACTGTTTTAAAGAAAAAATAATAACTCCAACTCTTGCTATATTCTTCTATGTTAAATCAAAGTCTTACCAAGGACATGTAATATCCATGCAACCAACATTTAAATAGCTCTTCAGTTTCTGGCTTTAAGTGCCTCTGTGTTCTCCTCTCTCCTCCCTCAGACCCTGGCAACCTGAGCAGTCAGTCATCCCTCCCATCCCCAGGTTCTTTTTCCACTGACCTCAGAAGACTCGGGCTCAAATAACACACTTGTCAAAACCCCTAGAAGTACAGCAGGGAGAGATACCATATAAATAGATAAATGGAAACAGAGTGCTCTGTACTGATAACATAAGCCAGTATGAACACCCTTTGCCTTCCAAATGTTTGTACCCTATTATAATGATTAGTTAAATGTGAATGCTACTAATAATTTTACTTCTGTTAGCTTAGACAGACATATTTTACACAGGTACCTGCAAAGCAGCAGCTGAAGGTGATTTTTAAGTTTTAGGTACTGCTGTTGGAAAAGTCATCTGAGCTTAGAGAATTTAAACTTGACAAAAGAGATCAATTAAAAAATAAAATGAGGAAAAGTTTCTAAGTGATCTGTGGGAAAGGCTAAAAGAAAGTTGGGTTTCATTGGTCTACACTGAGAAAAATACAAATCAAAACAAAACACAAATAAATGTGTCTATTTATGTATCTCTCACCACACAGGAGACCCTGAGTTTGACATACTCAGCACTGACACATGGCACGTGGCACATGTCCAGTGGAGAGGAGTTGGAGGAAAATATGAATATACAGGCGTCTGTTAATGAAAGGAACACCGTGATCACCTTTTTCTTGTTTTTTTTAAAAATAATTTTGTTTTGTTTTTAATCCTGAGTGTTGTAGTAGACAGAACATAGCTTACAAATTTTATTCACAATAAAATTCAAAGTTGTCACCGTAGCCTACAAAGCCCTACATGAACCTGAAACCCAGCTGCCTCTTAAGACTCAGCTCCACCCACCTTCCCCTTCGCCCAGTGCTCCAGCAACCTGGCCACACCTTCCTGCCTTGGTGCCCCTGCACCTGCTCCTGCCATGACCTAGAACTTCGATGGCAAACCCTTAAGAGCTTTCAATGATAACAAACAACCCACTGCAGCACACATGCTGTAAGTTGGCCACCACTGGCCTAAAACATGCACTGCTTTGACTATACTCAAATGTCACACAAATAGGGAGGCTGTCTTCACCTCCTATCCAAACAGCATGCCCTGAACCCTGCTGTACTGTCCTTCATATAACTTCTGGTCACCCAACATAGCCCATATTTCTTTACTTGTGTAATTATTTGTCATCCCAAATGGGAAAGTCTGTGTCAGGAGAGCAGGGATTTTATTCTTTTTGTCCACTGTCAATTCCTTCACAAGTGCCTGGCACATCACAAGAGTTCAATAAATATCTACTGAATGAATAAATTAATGAACTTTAGATTGAATCCAGATACCTAAGGTCTAGTCCTAATTCTTCCACTAAAAAGCTGTGTAACTTCGAAAAAAAAAAAAAAAGGCCTGACACTCAATTTCTGGATCTATAAAATGACTGTTGAAATAGGTATTTCTAAAGCCTCTCCTAGCTCTAATACCCTGGGGATTTTATAAACCTTCCATTTACATATGATCTTGTATGAAATTTTAGCAACAGAAAAATGTAATTTGGCATTCACAAACCACCAGCCCTGTGAGCAACTCCATGATAATTCAGAACCCTGTTCCACGGCAAAGCCCTCTCAAGCCCTAGCAGGCAGCATGGACCCCCAACTTTCTCTACTTTCAGGTGTTTATACACAACTTTATTCCATTTCTTTTACCAGTTAATGGCACAAGTGCATTTTTGTTTCTCCACTTAGGAGATGAATACCTTGAGGATAGCAAGGGACTTTCACTACCTTGTGATCTCCAGCACCATGTGTTGTCCATGCACCCCACGAATAGTCCATTAGTGAACGAAACATCCCTTCTAAATTATTCACAGAAAGGTAGCTATAGCTAATTCTACATATTATATCTGGAAGGGTAAATGAAAAATTTATAAGCAGATACTTTTTAAAATAAAGTTTATTTCCCTGATAACAAAATGTGTTAACACTTACTGTAGAAAACTGAAAAGTTTAGATAAAGAAAAAATTCTAATCAGTGATTATCCCATTACTCAACTACTATTAACCTTTTTTAACCATATGGTTCACTTTTATTAAGTGAACTTTTTCTAGTACATCTTTCACTTTATGGTTGACATCATACTAAACTATACTATAAAATGTTTTTAAATTCAATATAGGCATTTTCCATATCATTAGAATTTTCAAAATAGTATTTTTATAACTTTTTATGAAATATAAAACAAATTTTCAAATAAGAGAATAACAACAGTTACTACAATTTAACTTTTCTGTGCCCCTTAATCTAAAAATATGATCAATTTGTAAGTGCAAGTTCTGAGGATGGTCCTGACCACTGAGGAAATGTAGATAACTTTCCATCAAGGAGGAAGAAGACTTCCGCTGTTACGTAAAGCTGAGGTCTCTGCTTGTCCTCTGCTAAGACTTCACAGGGGGATAAGCATTGCAGTTATACCTGGAGTGAGGAAGGGGTTATGGATAGGTCGCTGGCTTTGTGGACACGGACCTGGGCCCACATCTTGCTTCATGACCCCAGGAAATGAAACAAAGCTCCAGGGTCCTCATGTCTAACAGGACAGTCACCGCACAGAACTGCCGGGAGGGGCTAACATGAGAAATGCAAGCAAGGGCTGAGCACTGTGCCCAGTGCAGAGGGAATGGGCCTTCTCTTCACTGCGATGCTCTGGTGTAAGAGTGTGGCAGGAGGGGTAGAAATGACATTTCCATCTTTTGGAAGAGTCCAAGTTCTCACTCACCTTGGAGCTCAGAAGAACACATGTGTGAGTCCACTCACAGAGAAGTGGCTTGATTACTGACCACACCCTGCAGCTGGGGTGAGCCTCAACTCCTGCTGGCCTCTCCCTGTGTCTAGCTACACCCAGTGTCCCTTCCCCAGGGACCCACTGTGGTCCCACCTCTGGATATCAGCTTTCTGTGCTGCTGCTTCCCTGGTCCCTCCTGGAACCCCACTTCCCCACCTGCCTGTCAGCCTACTTTTCTGCTGACATCTGCTGTCTGCTCTCCTAAATCCTGTTCAGAAGTTCTACTGGCTCCTTGTTACAAATCTATTACATAAAAAACTAGGAACCCAAAAGTTTTTCCTCCATCACCATCTGCCTTCATGTTTCCCCCTCTCTGCTTATTCCGACCTTGCCATCTATTTCAGAGCAGGCTCAAGCTGACTGCAGATAAATCATTTCCTGACCTGCAGGTCCTGACCTTTGTCACATGGTGATGCAATCTCAAAGTGGTGCTTTCAATTGTCAGCTGCTCACATTTTAGTGAAAATGAGTTTGCAGATTCTCCTGAGGGGAAATCTTGGCTCAGAAGGATGTGAGCACCCCAGACACCATTAGGAGGAAGGTTATAGAGCTGTGCTGACACTGCCCCTTCTCAAACCACCCAGGAATCCCTGGCCCCCTACTCCATTAAGCGACTCCCAAGTGCCTTCTCCTCTACTCTTCCCTCAAGCATCTGCTGCCCATTTTCTAAGACCCAAATCACATCCACTATTCCAAAGCAGCTGCAGCTCTACTCCTTTCTTCTGGCCTTGCACAGTACGCATGGCTTATCCTCCTCTAACTTCATCAACATAGTCTTAAACTCCCATATTCCTCCCTAACTTTTCCCACAGTTCTCAAGGGCAGAGGCGGTGCCTGTTTTCTGCTTGGTAGTTGCTTGTAACATGTGGCCGATATTCAAGACTTCTCATCTGATTGACCATTTGCCCTCATCAATGCCATTGTATAGGCGGCTTTTTTCAACTTTAGCTCTTCTGGCCTTGGTTGGACAGTAACTTTAACTTTGGGTAAGATGTGTACCCCAAAATGGTACATCCATCTGCCACCTTCAAAATCTTTCCACAGGTGCAAGCCTGTAACTCCAGCACTTAGGAGGCGGAGGCAGAAAATCTGCTCAGATTTCAAGGCCAGTCTGAACCACGTAGTGATACCCTGTCTTAAAATGCCAAAAGTAGGAGCCAGGGATTTAGCTCAGTGGTGCCATGCCTGCCTGGCAAGTGCAAGGTCCTGCTTTGGATTCTCGGTACAAAAAAAAAAAAAAGCCAAAAGTAGAAAAAATCCAAAAAGAAATAATTCCTACTATCTTCATTTTAGGGCCTACATGAAGGGGAAGATCAAAGTGAGAAGAGGATCATCTTTTTCTATAAAAGTAATCACATTCATATTCACTGAAAAGATGATTATTTGGAACCAGCAGGAATTTAAGAACACAAGTTACTGGAATTCATGCTTCTTTAAAAAAAAAGAAAAGTATTGTTCTGTGTATCAAAGTTAGCCTAGCCAGTGCCAGGCGTCCAGGACACTGCCACCCGCTTGGAAAGACCCGGGCCTTCTTTGCCTTCATCCTCAGCCCCTTCCCCCCTGGCCTGGATCGGGGCAGATGGGCACGTTCCAGCAAAGCTCTGCATCGGGCAGGACCCCAATTTAATCTCCAAGAATAACTCAAGGCGCAAGGGCCCAGCCGCTGGGCAGTGGGGTGGGGATGGTCTCTGCCCGCGGCCGCCCTCCCACAGGCCAGCACCTCCACCTCTCCACCTCTCCTGGAAAGGCGGCGCCTTGCTGAGCCGGCCCTGGAGGTCAGCGCGGGGAGCTCACCTGGTGTCAGGTTCGGGCTCTGACTCCGACCCTGACTCAGCCGCCGTCTCCTCCCCCTCGGCCTCCGACTCCTCCGCAGCCTCCTCCATGGCATCTTCCACTTCCCAAACCGCCGTCGGGTCGCCGTCCGCGTGGCCGTACCAGGTTGCCATCGCCGTCTGTGGAGGCGGCCTGCGCCTGCCGGGTGTTCTCCCTCGACTGCGTGGCCCCGGCGGCGGCTCGAGTTCCCGCCGGGGGCGGGCGGCCAGGGTACTCGAAATAGGAGGCGTCAAAGTTTCGCCACAGAGCTGGCGACAGCCCGGCCACCCCTCCTCCCCTCCCAGCCGGGGGTATGCGAGTCCTCAGACAGCTGGAACTCGCTGGGCCACATCCCTTCTCCAGAGCCAGTTTGCTTCTACTTCTGCAGGGCTACTTGAAGGACCCTTGTCCCAACCAGTGCTCCCTTCCTGAGTGGAGGATCACTGCTTTCAAGTGCTCACTCTGCCCAGGGCCTCGCTCTATCTCTATCCCCTCACAAAGCGGTGTCTTCAGAAGAGCTCTGGTAGGCTAGGGTCTCACTACTAGTGACGGGACTGAGGAGAAACTACACTCACCTGCCTAACTCAAGGCTCAGCCCTGAACCACTGTTCTGTACCGTCTCCCTGCACATTTCCAAGGCAATAAACCCCATTCTCTTCAGTAGCCCGGGTTGTTCAGCCAGAAACTATCCATAATCTTAAACTTAATTTAGTCAAAGGTTGTTTTCTCCATAGCTCAGCCTCACCGGATCCTGTAAAGCCAAAATCCCTCATTGGCTTCCTGAGGCTCAAGCATTAAAGCCCAAATCCTGGGCCCTAATAGCCCACACCCTAATCCGGTCCCTTCTTTAGTAGTCAGGGCTTCCAGCATCTTATCACGTCACTCCACTCTACCTTTACAATTCCTTCTGCCTGAAAAGCTCTTCCCACCCGTAGTTCCCTGGTTACACACATTTCTCTATAGTCCACAGGTTAAGCTCAGGTCTCCTCTTCCCAGGTCTCACATCAGCCTACAATTGAAGTCTCCCCAGGAAACTATCATAAGTTTATTAATCACCTTTGTCCCATCCCCAGCCTGTACAAGCCCATAAGCAGGCAAAATACCTAGCACCTAACAGGAACCTGATGAATGCTTCCTGAAGACAACAGGATGGATATCGTACTCACCTGCTGAGTATGCACAACAGGCAGAGTAACCCTCACAATGCAGAAAAGCATTCTTTTCATGAGAATGACCTCATAGGACAGCAAACATTTATTTCTAATTATAACATTCTATTCAGAGTTGTTAGGTATGATGAATGGAGGCTGGGTGTTTCACTACCTTGTATGCATACATTAGGTCTGTGCACAGCAAAGTACAGACAACATGGATACAGCAGAAGCAACAGTTAATGGGCATAGGAAGAGTAAAGAGGAGTCTGACCTTCCAGGTTTCACCCACCCGGGTTAAACAGCACCAATATTCATTCTTCTAACACTAGCTAGGCTTTTCCATCAGTAATCCCAAAACATCATGCTCCCCCAGGACAAGAACTCCATCCCACCTGTGGGAAACTGTTTAAAACACTAATCAAAACTACAGGTAGCCATTGTGTTTTTTCCATTTAACTCAAAAATTCTTAGGAACACTAATGGCTACAAGATTTATGTGCAAAGACCCTAGTTCAAATCAATACGAATTTTCAACCGCACCACAAAGTGCACATCTTTAACTTTCTAGGAGTAACAACATGTACAAATACATAGAAATGCAGATTAATACAAACAGAAAATAAAATGATTTAATATTCATCAAATAAGTAACTGCGATGGAAAATAAGCCTAAACAATTCTCTCTCATACTAACAGCACACTTATCTGACATATTTGGACCATCATAAAGGCCATAAGCTTGTGTCAGCCACTGGTTTAAAATTAAGTTGGTTAACTTCTTCACCTATTTGTTAGAATCAGCTGAAAAGGAGTAGTAAGGATAGGGTCACTGAAAGGTAAGAACAGTGGCAGTGAAGGAGTTCATATCGTGATAAATTCTGGAGCTTTATTAGGAAATGTCATCCTATGGTAGGGGGAGAGCACCCTCCACTCTTCCTCATCCCTGAGACCTGCACAGTACTACTTGCACAGTACCATGGCTATTATTCAGATGACCACCCAGACTCATCCCTAGAATATCAATTATACTCAATACATTCTGATAGTATCACGATGCATAATAAATTTAGACTTTTCCAAGAAAAATATTCATATAAAAAATAACTGTATACAAAGTACAGTATTTTACACGTTTTAAAATTCACCTTCATGGAACAACTTCCCAGAGAAATGGGGTGTTGGCTTGTTTGACCATAAGTGAACTTAATTTCTTTCAGATTGTTTTTGATAGGTCTCCCACTACCTCAGCAGCTATTATGTATAGTAGCTGCCCTCTTCCTATCGTGCCTTGCCCCCTCCCCTGTGTGATGTCATGCCAAGATGGTTGCTCCCACCAAAGAATCCTTCTTCCCAGCATGCCCCTGTTCCCGCCTAGAGAGTAACTTAATACTCGCTCACCTCCTACCACCTAGTGACATCACCAGCTCCTCCATTCCCTAGTCACTACCTCACTCAACCCCACCTCAGCCCCTACAAACCCCACCCCAGTCTCTATAAAAGACTCTCCCTGGCCCAGCCATATCACTTTTGTCTCTCCTTTGTTCAGAGATAGCCTGGCAGATCTATTCCCCTGATAAAGGCTTGTTGTGGCCTGGTCTGGTCTTGGTCTTCAGCCTTTTACCTGACATTTCTAATCTAAATAATCAAGCATAAAAAATGGATTCAACCAGTTCTAGATGGTAACTACAGCCTCAATCTCACTTCAAAAGCAAAGACTTTCACTGTAAACATCTCAACAATTTCCATATATAAACTTTATTCCATTTGACATACAAAAATTTAAACTTAAGAAAATGAAAATATGCACCTTTTACATGTCAAAGAAAAGCAAAAGTTTTAGCTTTTGAGTTGGCCTGCAAAAAATTCATTAGAGGAACAAACTGTTCTACAGTAGGTCTGAAAGAAGTTTGCAGTGCTTCTGAAAGTTAAAACTGTTTTCAAGATTACTTTTTATATTTAAATTTACAGGCACTGACCAATGTACAAATATTTACATAAGTTAAAAACAACTTTAATAAACACTGCAGCTTTTTTAGCAGCTAACACTACTTCAGGTGTAAAATACTAAAAAAGGTATTTTATAAACAAAGTGTTTTTATAATTATTTTATTACAACTTACCTGAAACACTTTGTAATGGCTTACTGCCTACAAATTCCAGTTTAGATAACAATCCTATAATGGCACAGAAAAAAATTCTGATTCTACAAATAGGATATAATCTTAACTTTGATGTTTCAGTTTGTGCTTCATATCACAGGGCAAACAACAAAAGCAGGAAAATAGAAGTACACATTGCACTATGCTATCATAAAACACAGAAGACTTAATCTTTTCAAAGTCTTTGAAACAACTCACTAACAGTTCAGTGACTGCCTTAAGCGCTCACATTACCATACTACAGGGCAAAATGTATTGTTGTTTCCACACAAAATCTAAAGCCATCTCAAGAGTGTCTCCCAGTCTCAGAAAGCACTCAAGAAATGCTATACAGACACAGCCAAAGCCTCAGTCTATTCCGGGGAGGCAAATGAAGACTTAAGGCAATTGTCCAGTATTTCATGACTCTGCAGTGATTTCACTGATATAAAACATTTTATTTTGCTTCAAATAACAAAAACTGACTTGAATCTCCACTAGAACAGACTGAGACAACAAACCATCTACTATAGGTGACACTTTAAGTTTGATGAATTAGACCTTTTCCAAAATTCCACACAACTCTTTCATATTAGCTTGTGAATAGTCAAAGTTGTATCAAAAATCTGTTACTGGTTCAGGTAATTCCCAAAATATATTTTATTTGATCACCTGAAAATTCATGCCATAATATTACTAATCATCAATGTAAACATTTTCAAAAATACATTTTTAAATCAAAAGATTTTATTAAGAAATATAATAAAATATGCAATCTTTATATAAGTATGTCCTTTTAAAAATAAAACATGAAAACAAGAAGAACAATTAAAAAGAAACTATGATGGAGGTAAACAAAATGTATTATGATGTAACTCTTGTTCTTTATTTCTCAGAAGAATTTAAGAAATAGAGGTCAGTTATCTTTTCAGGAGAGCAGTTCTTAAAGGTAGTATACTGTTCAAATCTCTTTTGTTTTTCAATCTGTGAAATGACTAGGAGAGAAAGAAATTCAAAACATAAAAGAAAATGTTATTTAAAACCTCTACATTTGCAGGTCAAATTTTCCTATTCTGGCTGACAAACTGAGAGGACCTATGTTTTCCTTTTTCTTTTCTTTTTTGAGACCAGGTGTTGCTAAATTGTGCAAGCAAGAATTGATCTTGTGAACCTCCTGCCTCAAACTCCTAAAATGCTGTGATTACAGGTATGTATGGAGCATGGCACCCAAGGCCTAATCTGAAGGATAATGTAAGACTTGCATTTTTAACAGTTATTAGAGTAAAATCCATTTGTATGACTAAATAGTGAAAAGCTTGGCCCCGGGGATTTAGCTCAGAGGTGCGGCCTGCCTAGCAAACACAAGGTCCTAAGTTTGATCCCCATACCAAAAAAAAAAAGTTATGCCTCTAAAATGACTTCTTAGTTCTCTGGTCCTTTTCTCTTCTGAAGCAATCCTTCCTATGTCTCATGCTACACTACATTTCTATTCCCTGAAGATAGGGACCTCAGACAGCAAAACCACTGATGAATAAGTTCATATCATGGACATAAGCACAAGTGTAATTTTTTTTAACTTTTCAAAATAGTAAAGATAAAACAGCACTACAATTCCCTGTGGCAGTAGGGTATAAAGAAGGAAATGCATGGATTAAACTTCAGCTTCCTTCCAAGACTATAATAAATTTACTGATATTTAAAGGAAGGAAGAGTTCATTTGGTTTTATTCAATCATTTTGGGAGTTTTTAATCTCCATAAAAATGTTTATTTCCAAAAAAGCGAAAATCATATGAATGAAAACACCTAGTTCTGATGGAAAAGTACATCTAACATCAAGCAATGAATTTCCTACTGTGTTACGTTAATGACTTCAAAACTTAGAAATCAGGATTATCCTATCCTATCACATAAAATTTTTTCCTCCAAATTCAGATCCTTGCACGTTAGGCAAGCATTCTACCACTGAGCAACACATCTAGCCTCTTCCCCATTTTCAAAGCACACTAGTTCATTAAAGTTTCCAAAGTTAATCTGACACACTGTTTACCTTTAAAAATTGATCTTTGATCATGTCAAACTTCTGTTTTTCATGCACGGCTCTGGCTGTATTTGTTCCATCAAAAGGTTCTGCAATGTTAAATGTACATATAAAGAAGAAAGAATTAAAATGAGCTTTTTTTGAGGTGTCAGGGATAAAACCCGGGGTCTTGTGCATGTTAATGCTATGCAAGCACTCTGCCTAAGCTATATCCCCCCTTCTTTTTTTGGTTGAGACAGGCTGGTCTTAAACTCACTATGTAGCCCCGGCTGGCCTTGAACTTTCAGTAATCCTCCTGCCTCTATCTCCCAAGTGCTGGGACAACAAGCATGCACCATCACACCCAGCCACCATAATTTTTTCATTAGGCTCAAGTACATGAAATTGCCAATATATGATCACTTTTGACATATAAAAGTTAATTTCATGTGGTCTGTTCTAATATCTTTACTAGATTTATGAATATAGAAAGGTTTAATATAGAGCTGGGGATTTAGCTCAGTGGTTCTGCCGCCTACTCCTCAAGGGCAAGGACCCAAGTCCAATCCCCAATACCAAAAAAAAAGAAAGGTTTAATATAATTATAAGCTATCTAATGAGATAGCTAGAATTCAGTGAAAGGGTGACAAAAAAATAAATCATCAGCATAGGTATGTTAAGTCTAAATCATAAAAGTGCTAAGATTTCTGAAGAATTACAGAGATTCAAGAACCTACCCGCAGGGGAATAAAAATTTAAAGAATAAAACATTGTCTAGAAGAATAAAGCACTATATTCAAGAGAAGTGCCTGATGGCAAATGTTAGAGAAAGGTAATTTTAAATTTAATTTTAATTTAAAAGCTGATTTTGTCCCGCAGGAAAAGGTCAATTGGTCAACAGTTCAGGGAGTATGGTGTGTGTCTTTAGAAAGAGATACGAGAAATCTGGTTCACAAAGACAGAAATCAAAATAGCAAGCAGAGAAGACCAGAAGGTGGTGTTTTTTTGTGTGAGTCCCTAACACATACCTTCTATGTAAATACCTTGACACCACTCACCCTTCACCCACAAGATAGAAGAGGCTATAGAGAAAAAGAAAGAACCCAGAAGAAGCCAAAGAAACAGAAGATAATATTCAGAAGTGGAGGATAATATAGGACATTAGCAATGAGAAGGGATGACAATGTTGGTATATGGTAAAAATTACTAGAGATTAAGAATTTTGGTGCTGGGCTGGGGATTTAGCTCAGTGGTTCCGGTGCCTGCCTCTCAAGCCCAAGGTCCCGAGTTCAATATCCGGTACCAAAAAAAAAAAAAGAATTTTGGCACTGAAAAATAGGAGGAGGGAGTACTTAGAAAGATCATGCCAAGTGTACTTTTCAAAGATAAACGACTGAATGCCTTCCAGCTGAAAGGGAAGGATGGAAGAGAAAAAAATGAAGTTGCTAGAAAGAACAAAGGTAGCTAAGAGGAAAGATCCAGAAAAAGTTTGAAAGAATAGGAGACCTGATAGGTTCACTTTAGCCATATAATCAAAGCAGGTTCAAAATTTTTTAAATTCCTCTATTTTATATTGCTTAGAAAGACTATTTTTAAAAGGAGGTATTTTTTTGGTCACAATACTATGAGGTTTTTTTTTTTTAACTAGAATAAGGTCATATGCCAAACTGTATTAGATCATATCACACATAACACTTTACAACAGTGTTTCATATTCAGAAGAACACAAATAACTAAAATAATATACTTATTGTACAATTTATAAAAAAACCAAACGCCATAGCAGATTTAAATTCTATTTAACAAACTTAAGATGCTACATATAATCCAAGATTAAAATATTCTTAGGGCCGGTGATTTAGCTCAGTGGTTTCACCACCTGCTGCGCAAGCAGCCAAGGACCCGAGTTTGATCCCTGGTACCAAAAAAAAATAAAAAATAAAAATAAAATAAAATATTCTCAATCTGATGGTGCTGATTGTCAACTCATCTCAACTCATCGAGATTTGCAAAGGTCTCCAATTTGGCATCGATGAGAGCCATTTGTTTTCCTTTCTTTGGGAAGTGCTGGGGACCAACCCAGGGCCTCATGCATGTTAGGCAAGTGCTGTCAATTTTGCCTCCTGGAGTCAGTTTCCCACCGATTCACATAAAATGTTTCTAACTTATATTCAACCACATGTAAATTAACTTTAGAGAACAAAATTATCTTCAGATCATTTAATTTTTAAAGTAAAATCAAGTTCATAAAAATCTAGCTTACATAACAATATTTTAATGTAAAATAAATTATTTTATTTCAATATAAGAATCATATAAAGATTATATTTTTTACATCTATAAACCATGAGATTAAGAATCAACCACAAGAAGAATGCATAAAAATGGCGCAAATCTTACCAACTAGAAATTTATTATTTATCACAATTGAAGAATTTTAAATCATGTTTTAAATTAAAAGTTTAAAGTTAGAAGATTCGTAAATCATTTCAGAACATAAATATATCATTTTTTCACTGAAATACAAGCTATAAGCAGTGGTAATCCTCTCAGTACCATGACACTAAATGAATGGTGAAGAGCAGTCATGGGGAACTACCTTCTACACAGATGTATTTATTTCTCCACTCAATACCATCAGGCCTTGGAATGGCTTTGGCTTCACGGACTGAAATCATTTGACTGTTCCAGCTATAAGAAGAAAAGCATTAATGTCAACTATTTTCATAAATTTCCCTTTTATTGTATCAGCAGTAAAGCCTACCTTATTATCTTAACAAATACCAAAATAAGCCTCAAGCCTCAGCACAATGTCCATTTGCCTCCTCTATTTTTTGTACTCTACAGAGCACTTATCATCCACTTGCTTATTTTCTTCTGCTATCTATTATATTGTTATTTATTGTGTGTTTCCCCAAGTAGAATGAAAGCTCCAAGATTAAGATACTCATCTATTTTTCACTGTTCACAGTTACTTAATACATATTAATACACATTTACTAAATACATGAAGCAGTAGAGAAAAATTTTAAAAGTGCAAGTAAGCAAAAATATATAAAAACTGCTAATAGTAAGAATTTTTCATTCGTTAAAACAGAGATATTCTTCTTATGTTGTTTTCTGGAACCAATAAATAATTTTTGTTCAGGTATATCTTCTTTATTTGTATGACCTAGGAGAAAATTTTCTAATTTTCTAAAGTAAGCAACTGGATACTGTTTTAAGAACACAATACTCTACAAAAACTTACTATTACGGTTACATATCAGATGCAGCTGTTAATAGTAAAATTTTATTCAAGTGAAACAGTTTTATCAACATGCCTGAAGGTTAATTATTTGATACGCAGTATACACAACTTTATATTTCGCCTTTTCAAAGATTTTTTAAAATGTTCTCCTTTCTAGCAGTTATTACAAGTATTTTTTTACTTTCAAGAAACAACCAAAAATATGACTACTTGGCTTATATACAAGAGAAAAATCAATCTGAGAAATGACTGAAATCTTTTCTTTGACAACATTAGCTTTCTCTACCATTTTGGCAAACACAGACTATGACTTGGGACCTCCCAATTCCACTCACCCTACTCTTCCTCAATGTATCAGAAAATCTTCTAAGAATATAATCTTGGGTCCAGTAAGATGTTGTTTCTGGAAATGTTGTGGTTAATTTCTATATTAAATATAGAAGAAAAATTGTGTATGCTGTGAATTTTGGTCGTTGTGACACAGCCTGCAAGTATCATTTTCTATTTTGTTTTCATCAAGAGTAGTGTGTAAATACATTCTATGGAGAGCTTTCAGTCCTTTCATTTTAGGTCCCTCATGTACTGCAGTTACATTAGTATGAACTCCAAAAAGTCTGGGCATGCCTGTAATACCTACAACTCTGGAAGGCTGAGGCAGCAAGATCATAAGTTTGAGCCCAGCCTGGACAATTTAGAAACTCAGTAAGACCCTGTCTCAAAATAAAAAAGACTAAGGATGTAGTTCAGTGCAGAGGCCCTGAGTTCAACACCCAGAGGAGAAGAGGAAAGATGGGACAGGTTGTGGGTCTGAGGATTGGAAGGGGGTGGGGGGTCCAAACAGAAAAGGAAGAGTCTGCTCTGTCACAAAGTTTCCAAACTTTTCTTAAAAGTTCAGCTGCAGAGCACTTTCACAGCATGTGCTAGACCCTAGGTTCAATCTCTTAGCAATCCAAAAAGAAATAAAAGAGTATTAAAATACTATATCCTGGGCCGGGGATGTAGCTCAGCAGCACAGCAACCGTCTGGCAAGTGCAAGGCCCTGAGTTCAATTCCTCCTAGCTCCCTCCAAAATATACACACACATACATACTATATCCTGCTTTAAATTACAAGTTTTGATTTCTTAATGAAAGGAACTCAATTTTCACTATTGCATTCGTATTAACTTCAAACCTGAATTTGTATTATTTACCATAACTGAGTTCTAAACTGGGTCAACAGTATGTAACACGTATATGCATTTTATTAATTGTCCCTAACCAGGTACTGTTTAAGCTTCAACCAGCCTAGGTAACAGTTATTTAAATGCCTACATCATCTGAAGTACTTGAAAGAAAAATAAAGTTGGTTTTCATCTTTTTAAAACGGCGGCAAAGTTTCACACTTATTAAAGAGAAGGAAAAATAGGCTCTGCAGACCGAGTTTGGACCAAATAAACTAGGCAAAAAGAGAGAAAAAAACAAACCCTACAGTGCAGGGCAAGCTATCGAGCAGAGTCACAATAGCCAAAAGGATTCTGGATCACCATCATTTAGTCAATGAATTTAAATGGCAATTTAGAACTATTTTCCTTATTCATTTTTTTTAAAACACACAAGCCAGAATTAAGCCCTTTACCAGACTAATCCATTCTTAACTATCATTTATTTGCCAGTCTTCTGAACTTTATAGTCACTTAGCATCAGTTCACTGTTTCCTGTTCAATTCCGGAAGCCTGACTTCAAGCTTCACTTAAGGATTTTGAATGGCAAGATATAAGTGATAATTACTTTTATTTTCCTTTTTTTTTTTTAAAGAGATGTGATCTGGCTATCTTAGAGACTGGCCCTGAATGCCTATGTTTAATCTTCCTGCCTCAGCCCCTAGAGTAGGTGGGACTATGGGCACGTGCCACTGTGCCCAGCTAGAAATTAATGTTTTTTAAATAGCCATATAAAAAAAACATCTGTGACGTTTATACCACATTCTTAAGCATCCTTTTCCAGGCACTTAATTCTATCTTTTAAACAGAGGGAATTTTAAAATTTAATATCCCAAAGTTCAGAAGAAGTCCTTATATACATTTTAACAGCTTCCAGAATTCTTTTCACAGCACCTAATCCATTACTATGACTGTACTCCCAACTGAGCTCCCTGCAGTCAAATTTCTGAATATCTTTTATGAACAATGCAAAAGTGCTGTATGATGAAGTTTCAAAATCTCTTTCCAAGCACTGGCACCCTAGTATTATCATTTGGTACAGCAAGATAATTCCTATTAATATTAAACCAACACACAAACTTACACACCACCATCTTGTTTCAGTCCAACAAACAGCTGATTTTCAGAGTATGTGTATCACATAACTTTATATATGGGAGAAATTCATCTTTCTTTTGTGAATCCTTTTCCCTTGAATGCCTCCCAGTGCCTAACTTATATGACCCCATAGGTGAGGTCAATACAGTCTAACAATGTTGCAGTTTCAGAGACAGACCTGCACTTGAATCCCAGTTCTCCTACTATATAGCTGTATTGCTGTGGTTAAGTTTCACACACACCAATTTCCTAAACTTGGCAGAGGTATTTTTAAGTATTAAACAAAATACATAGCCATCATTTAAATATACAGGGAACTAGGTAAACAGGTCCTAAAAAAGTATTAGTGTTGCAACATCTTAAAAAGTAATTTTAGAACACCCATTAAACTCTTCACAATCTCCTTATGTCACATGTAATTTTACAATTTTTCTTCTTTTTCACATAGATGAAGGCTCTTGTTTTTATCATCACAGTCGCTTGGGACTTACATTCAGATCCTGAAAACTTTTTAATCTGGATCATTTTAACTTCATTCTTACTGAACTACTTTCCTCCAGTACTTTCCCTGCTCAGTAACTTTTAAATTACTTTAAGGATCTTTGAGTCTAGGCTACAACCTCAACTTCTACTTCGTAATTATAGTAAGTACTTACCAGGAACCCACTATCTGGCACTGGGCAAGATACTAGGGGCAGAAAGGCAAATAAAACAGGCATAAGCAGTCTGGTAGAAACTGAACTTTGAAGAATCTGAATAATGTTTCTTCTTTTATGTGCTACACTGTAAATCATCTTTCGAGTAGTTTCTTTATAGAGCTACAAGCATCACTGCAGAAAAGACAATACCAACACTGCTGTAAGTGTCATAGTTAGGTGTAAAATCTTAGACCAGTGATGACAAACCTTTTAGAGCTTTGAATGATAACCAACAGCCCACTGAGGCACATGCACTGTAAGTTCACCATGTAGGTTGCCGTAGGTTTAGGCAAACTACCTGAAAAATGACCCATACTAGCAAAGACACCTTTGGGTAAATTATTCTCTCTCAACCTGTTCTTTCTCTATGCCTCACTGATAAAGTATGAGGGCGTGATATAATACGACCTCACAGTTATCATGTAAACTTAGATAATGCACATATTCTGCTTAGAAGTATTTTGCCACAATTATTAACAACTTATTAGTATTGCCCTCTTCAAATCCCTTTAAAACAGTATGCTAAGGTCACTGTATCCTCCTCTAAGAATGTAAAATTCTAACTCCTTTCTCTTCTTCCTCCAACTTTTCCAGACTGGTAAGATCTGCAAACAATTCCTAGTCACACTCTATCTGAATTTAGAACTCCCAAAAAACTTTTAGTTCTCTCCATCCTGATTGTACACTGTTTGTTTACACATTGCTCTCAAAACAAAAAAGGAAAAGATACAGCCTTTGATTTGCATATCATACTAATACAACCCCTTATTCAGACATCAAGCATAAATTCAACTTTTCCAAGTTTATCATTAGCTGTATTTTTTACTATAAATTTTAAGTTCCTGGAAAATAGATGTTCCAAACTACACAAGACTGAAAAAGAGGACATATATGCCCTACTATAAAATGAGGCAGCTAAACATAAAACGGGATCACAATGAATCAAGTAAAACTAAAACTGTAAGGTTTTACTTACTCAAATTCTGTAGCATAATATTTAAGAAAGCCCAGTAAGAGGTCCCCAAGACTTGATTCATTCTTTGAGAGGTAAGGAGGAATATTACATGGAGTCTGATGTACAAGGTGCAACTGTATAGCAGAACTAAAAGATTCCTGTTTAAAAACAAAAAGGAAAAATGTGAAGCCATTTCAAATACACACTAAAAAACTTTATAAATCCTGATCTAGATTCTTTGAAGAAAGAAGAAATTTTCTTTGTATTGACAATTTGGAAACTTGAAGATTTTCTTCCACTAAAGATTTTAGCAATAATTTGAATAAGCCCAAAGGTACCTGAAAAAACGAAGATACTCTAATCCTTGGCTTGAATATATCACTTAGTTAAAATCTTCATGGTAACAAAAGATTTCTAGCTTATACATAAAATATTACATACACCATGACTCCACCCAGTAACACAGGAGTATTTTCATACATGTATCTCCTTAACTGTTCCTACAAGCAGCAGATGTACTTTATGTATGAAGGCTGAATCAAGCACAGTTAACAGCTTTGTCTACGCACCACTTAATTTTCTTTCAAAGGCCACAAAAGGAGCTTCCATTATGTGAAACATACTTACACTGATTTTAAGGGTTTTTTTAATTGTTTTATTAGGTTTTTGTATTTTGTATTTCAGAAGGAAAAGAAGATAGATGTTTAAAATGAACCTGAAAAAAATAAAAGCAGGGAAAAGAAGAAAGATAGCACACTTACAAACAAGTAATATTTACCAAACTTTTACCTCAATAGTAATAAGGGAAGGTATTAACTGCTTCCAATCCAGGCCCAAAGAAGACATTCATTAGAAAAAATACTAATAGGTACTTCTTTTTGGCCTGTGGTATACTATAAATTTTCATATCTGATCTTCCCTGTATTACCAGCAAGTACTAGATCTGAAAATACTAAGTGAATATTGAGATTTTTAACTAATATATACTCGTAAGTTCAAAGATAATCCTTTTTTCCTTCTTTTCTAATTTCTTTCATTCCTTCATTTTTCTGGAACTGAAAACACACTAGAAAAGCACTCTACCATTGGGATTGGTCTACATTCCCAGTCCTGTTTTGTTTTTTGTGGTAGGGCCTCAAAAACCAGGTTGCCCAGTCTGGGCTTGTACTTGTGCTCCTCCTGCCTCAGTTTCCTGAGTAGCTGAGATTACAAACATGAGCCACTGCATCTGGCAGAAAACAAGGTAATTTGTACAGTGACATCAAAAATGGTTTTCTGTATTTCACCACTGCCATCAGAATAGAAACTGGTTTTTTCAAAAGCAAATGGTTAAAGTAACAGAATGACAACTAGAGGTAAGGTTGTCATACAAAAACCTTAACACAAAACACCTATGTAACACAAAAACCATGGACTTATAGGTGTTATTTCAATGGATAACATCTAAATAATATCAAGTTAAATAAAATGTAAAAGCATCCTAAATAACTAAATGTAGCACACAGATAGAAGGTAGTGAATTACTGAATGCTAGTTCTCAAAAAGTATCAATAAAAACAAGAGCAAAACAATAAAAATATTCACTCCCTAGTTATATTGCCTATAATTCTACAAATAATGTTCACCTATCAGAAGTGATTCCCTTTTTTAGAAGAAAATTTCTATTCCAACCACAATTGTTCAAAGTTTTTTTTTTTATGGTACCAGGGATCAAACTCGGGTCCTTGCGCTTTCGAGGCAGGCACCAGAACCACTGAGCTAAATCCCCGGACCCTCCAAACACAATTGATAAAGCTTGCATTCCTGAACCTAGGGACTTATTCTTATGTTTCTAATAGCTATCATAACACTCAAGTAGAAATTAAGATGGGAGCTAGGAAAACTATCTCAATTTACAATCAAGAGTAAAGGCAGGGCCAGGGATTTAGCTCAATGGTTTCGTTGCCTGCTGCGGAAACGCAAGAACCGGAGTTCGATCCCCGGTACCAAAAAAAAAAAAAGAGTAAAGGCAAAAGAAAGAACACTGCCTTACAGCCTTTTGTCTCTTACTTGTTAGGTACAAAGCTGGACTTAGGGTAACATTATTTAAAACTATAAAATTTAAATATTTTCTGGAGAACTAAATCAAAGGTATAATGTAGATCAAATGATAAGAAAGGCAGTAGGCACAATCCTTAAATGTCAATTAAAAATTTTGAAAGTCAAACAGTGGGTTCCTATTTAATAACTCCTGATCTGAAGGCTTTTTGTTGAATAATTTAAAGAAAATATTAGCGGCTGGGAATTTAGCTCAGTGGTTTCACCACCTGCTGTGCAAGTGCAAGGACCCGAGTTCAATCCCCGGCACCAAAAAAAAAAAAAAAAATATATATATATATATATATATCAGCAGTAAGATTAAAATTGAAGAGTTGTAAGAGCTCTTCTCTTTTTTTTTTTTTTTTGGTATCAGGGATCGAACTCGGGACCTTGCACTTGGCGAGGCAGGCAGCGGAACCACTGAGCTAAATCCCCGGTCCAGATCTCCTCTCTTAAAATGTTGCATAATCTTGGACCAACAATTTGATCAGTCTTCTCTTTTCATGATCATAAACAAGAGTCATGTCATGTTTACTGAGGTCAAACTGAAGGGGAAGGTCAAATGTAAAAAGAAACAGAGCTACAAGGAAATGGGAATACTATCCTTAAATTCTCAGTTTTTGCAATCATCCACATTACAGAAAGATTCTCTGCTTTAAGAAAGATGTCAATAAAAACTTTAAAAGAGAGCTCCCTCTTGCAGTTACCTGTGTAAGAAAAATATACAATACTTCAGGTAGGATAAAGATGTGCCAAACGAGTTAATACATTAGAAAGCATTCAAAGAGCAAGACAAAATTGAAGGGGGAAAAAGTAGCCTTAACATTAGAGTCTAAGAGTGGAAAAGCAATTCAAATGATATCTATTTTTTCATGAATTAGATTTTTTAGATTACTGATATTTACTGTTTTATTTTTAAATAAAATAAAGATTTATTACATTTCTGGGATCTTATCTTCAGATTCAAAATCATCAAATGTATAATGACCTACTAATTCCTAAAACTATTTTCCAAATAGTATTTAAAATGTTGACATTTTTAATGATATATAATCTTCCATCTCTCTTAAACCAAGGCCAAGCTAACACATATTTAAAAGCAACCTCCTGAAAACACCTGAAGTCTTTAATTTTTATCCACACAACTACCTACCAAAAATGGCAAAAATATTTTCTGCCAGATTCTATCCTTTTTCTGAGGTTGTGACATGGTTTCTTACTTTAACCTTCAAAGTTTGAAATTTGGACAATTAAGCACTTTCAAGAGTAAGACTGGCTCCATCATTTATATTGCTTTTTTAAGTCAATGGGAAGTAGGAATGCTCAATAATTCTACACAACACAACTTTTAGAGATAATGATGTTTTCACCCCTCCCTTTCACACTCAATATCATAAGCAAAATGAAATGTATCAATATCTTGAATAAGTACTTTAAATATTACATCCAGGGCTGGGGTGCAGGTCAGTGGTACAGTGCTTGCCTGGCCTGAGAAAGGTCCTGAGTTAGATCCCAGATAGAAAGATAGACAGACAGACAGACAGACAAGAAGGAACAATATGAACATATGAAACATGAACATTTTCTTTTCCTATGTATGTGTGTTTCAATATTGGGGACTGAACCCAGGGCCTTTGCACTGAGCTGCATTCCCATCCCTTAATTTTTTTACTTTGTGATAGGGTCCTACTAAGTTGCCTCAACCTCCCAGAGTGCTGTGCTTACAGTAGATATGTGCCACCAGGCTCAGCCAAAATTTTCCCTTTGTAAAGAACAAAAAAAAATTTTGGTTAAGTTCTAAATCATTCTCAAGCTTACATATGTAAGCTTAAATTTTGCCCTATCTGCTTTTCTTAAAGAAAAGCATCCAAACAGGAATGATCAGGTATATACAAATAAAATTTGATAAGGAAGAGAAATTAGGTGAAAAGTTATTAGGGAAGAGCCTTCCCTAAGAAATGTAGTATAATGAAAAAAATACCACTTTTTTATCTATTATTTGTGATTATAGCATTTGAATCAATCATAATTTTATATAATGTTAGTCTCTTCACATTTGAAACAGACAATACCTTATAAGTTCATGTGTTCAGAATTAAAGAAATTGTGTATGAAATTTTGGATATTAAATAAATGATGGTTATTACTAATAATAAACAGGCTGATTTGCTTGTTCCGTTAGACAGACCACTAAAAAACTGCTCTGCTTATCAGCTTATAGATTTCATGCAAAACAAAGAAACCTTGTACTAAAGGGAGTGGCAAGTCCTTACTCATATAAGCATCAATTTTGTAATACAAATAACTGGATTTAAACATTTAAGATGGCAATGTGACCACACCTGAATGCAAATTAGGACATTCCTAATCTGGCAGGTCTTGACATTAGTATTTTTCAAGGCTTTGAGGCCAGGCTAGCACTGAATTTACTTCCCCACCACATAATAGGGTTATTAACAAAATAGACATGACAGTTTAGGACTAGCAATAGTGGATAAGAACAGAAGTCAGGACTCTGTCATAAAAGGAAAGTTAGATAATGAGAAAAATAGAATTCAGAAGTCAATTCAGAATATATTAATAAGATCCAGGGTGGGCATCTTGTCACGAAGTATTACCTATGCTCCCAAGCACAGCTCGTTAAACTGGAACTTCCCTAGAATCATATATTGGTAAAAAGGATTTCACATAGCATAGGGTTTTTCAAGTAAGATTTTTGCAGTTCCATTTTTCAATAAAACCTTTTATTAGGTTAAGTGTAAGTTTTAACTATTAGATTTTTGCATGCTGAAAAGTAGCTCTTTTTACATTGAAATCTGGGTCTTAAAGAAAAATAAAGCTGGAAAATGAAATAGTAAACAACTACTCTCTCTCACCTTTTAATATGCACTAATAAGAATAAACACAGAGAGAGAAAAAAAATTCAATACTGTAAAGCGAAAAAGTTAACTTACTTTTATTTCTGTACTTGATGCTTTCCTTTTCCATAATTTTTAAGACCAATCCCAAAGTATATGGAAGCTCATTCTAATGGTTTTTCATAATAGCAGAAATTAGTTTGTAAAAGGAGGAAGACAGCCAGATTCCAGTCTCTTCTGATAGATGACCCATCAGAAACTGGGAGAGCCCCACTAAAGTAAGACTGTTACAGTGAACCTTATAGTTATTGCACTGTCAGTGCACATTATAATAACTGAAGCCCAACATCAGTTCTTCTCAATTACCAGGGATTACATTTAACTAATGTTGCATGTTAGGTATACTGATTTTATTTTGTGGGATACATTAAATAAGATCCTACAAAATTGATCATACAAGCAGAATGGTATAGTCTCCTTTATAACAGGACCATTTACTAAGTTTAGAAAACGGCTCTTCTTGTATGTATGAAATGTATACACTCGGTACAAACACATACATGTTCACATGTAAAATATGTACAAAATAGGTAAAACATATGTGATTTCAGAAGGTTGGTCAAACATTTATTTGGAAATAAATATTATTTCCAAAGACAATCAGGAACAAGAATGACAATGGAGGAAAATAGAGATGGTTAGATTTCAAAAAATAAGGAAACAGAATACTGGAGGAAGACAACTAGAAAAAAAACAAGGATATATGTAGATTATGAATATGCACATTACATAACCTAGGTTTCTCTAAATTCAAAGCAAATGGATACTAATTATTTTCTAATAGGTACACTTAATTTTTTTAATGTTTCCAATTAATCTTAGGATTAATAGTGTACAGACCAGAATAGTCTACTAATGTTACCCCTTTTGATGTATTATTAGGCAAGATCAAATGAAAGATAAAGAATATTCAATTATTTAACTTGTTCATTTTTCTCCTGCTTTTCAAAGTAAAAATATAGTAGGCTGAAAATATGAGTAACAAAAGAAAGGTTATAAAACTAATTTTAAAACCATATTAAGGAAAATGGAATAAGGACAAATGGGCCTTGAGCAACTAACTAATGAGTACCATGCAAAAAATCCTACCGTTTGCATAACTGACTGGATTGCTTGCTAATCACCAAGTAAGGTACCAGAGTTTTCCAAAAGTATCCGAAACATTTATGTTCTTAGTGGCTAATGTATAAGTTCTACAGAAATGTTATCATGTATGGAACTTAGCCTTATTACTTTTATGTCCACATTACTACTGCATTTAATAATTCTACATACACTTGACACAATATGTATTATAATAATTTATAAGAAACACTTACTGGGTAAATTTTTTGGAGGGATGGAAGGATGGGTTCAGGTAGGGCTATAAAAAGAAAAAGTTTAAAGCTTCCGTGATTCACATGATTCATGTTACAGTACAATAATCTGTCAACTACACCCCAGGTATAAGACTACAAGGGTTTACATTAAAATTCAACAGTTTTTATATATTTAATGAAATTATTTCCTGAAAATGTAAATTTAAAATACATCTAAGTTGATAATTTAAGGTTTTGTTAATAAACTATGTATATTCCTCTGTAAATCAATGTTACTTCTGAGGATTTAGAGTAACAGGATACCAATAAAGGGATATAAGTCATTTGATCCTACATCAGACACACGCACACAAAATAAGACAAAGAGTATTCTACAGACACTAAAGAGACATTGTTAAAATGGATGTAGCCTACAAAAATGTTGCTCAATGATATTATACCAGGAGAGAATGATTCTATCATAATTATCCCTTCATTATTTAATTTCCACTAACAATACCAAAAATGAGATCGTTCCAGAAAACTGATCTATTGAAAAAGTATCGAACTGAAAAACACATCTTCATAATATATTTTTAAAAGAGTATCTTGGCAAAGGTTAGAAATATACATCAGGAGGTCCGTACCACTCTTGCTATAAAACAAATTTCATACAAAGAATCATTATCCTCATTTACCACTCTTTTTAAAAAATTCCTCATCATTAATTTTAGCCAAATTCAATTTCATTAAATGCATTAACAGTAACTTCACATCATTCTAATGTAAACAATACAATGTCTTGAGTATGGCAAAACACACATTATATATTTTCAAGATTTCTTTAAAATAGAAAACAAATATAATAGCATGTGATAAACTTTAAGAAGTAGAAATATAATTATTTAAAATGTATTAAATATATATTTAAATATACTAAAATAATTATACTCAGTAACAAAGAGTATCTGTTAACCAAAACCTTTCAAAAATGACCTATGGGGCCAGGATTTAGCTCAGTGGCACCATGCCTGCCTTGCAAGCGCAAGGTCCTAAGTTCAATCCCCTCTCCAGTATGAAAAGAAAATAAAATGACCTACTGAATACATTAATGTTACATGTTATCAACCACTAGACCAAGTGTCATGGCTTCCAACTATAATTATAAATTTCTACCAGAGTACAGAGTAGGATGATATAAATTTCCCTCCTATATAATTGCTGCATTCCCAAACTGAAAACTGGAATCAAATAAAATTCTGTGATAATATGAATATATGTATGTAGCACATGACTAAGGATATTGAAGAAAACAAAAATTCACACATTACTTACCAAAATCACTCTTAGGAAATAAGATTAGATAGATAGATAGACAGACAGACAGTCAGTCTGCATATTTTTTCTTCCCCAGAAGCATTTAAATCCTCAAAGTTCTAACGACCCTCCGAGTGAAAATCAAGCCCCAGTCCCTTTAACTCTAAACGTTTCTGTATTTGTACAACACTTTTGTCTAACAGTTTTTGTTATAAGACATGTCAAATTGGAAACTTACTAGAAATTAGTTTACTTAAAAGTCTGTATTCCTTTCCTATTGAATATCACATAAATTTGAACTATAATAAAACAAAGGATAAGGGCCAGGGATTTAGTTCAGTGATTTCGCTGCCTGCTGTGCAAGCGCAAGGACCCAAGTTTGATCCCTGGTACCAAAAACAAAACAACAAAGGATAAAGAAAGAAATACAGAGAATTTGAATGAAAACTCTCATTCTAGGACTACATCTAGAACAAGTACCAACCACTGGTTTAGGATCTTTCATGGAAAAAAAGAGCCTTTAGAGCCGGGGATTTAGCTCAGTGGTTCTGGCGCCTGCCTCACAAGTGCAAGGTCCCAAATTCAATACCCAGTACCAAAAAAAAAATTTTTTTAAAAGAGCCTTTAAAAGTAAACAATTTAGGGCCGGGGATTTAGCTCAATGGTTCGGCCCCCTGCCTCACAAGAGCAAGGATTTGAGCTCGATCCCTGGTACCAAAAAAAAAAAAGTAAGCAATTTAGAAGCTTTTGGAGACAAGGGTATCATTCAGGAATTTCCTCGTTTTCAATCTTAAAAAATTAACACTCGTCATTAGAAAAGCAGTGAGTATACTACAGCAGTTATTTATTAACATTAATCAGAGAGTGGCCTCAAAGGGTTTTTTTTTTTGGTACCGGGGATTGAACTTGGGACCTTGTGCTTGAGCAGCAGCTGCCAGAACCACCGAGCTAAATCCCCAGCCCTCAAAGGGTTTTTTTTTAAATGTTTGTCTTACTCTGAAGCAACATTAATGCTGGAAAAAAAAAAAAATCTAACTATAACATCTTTTTTGACTTCAAATTTTTATACTACAGATTCAATCTTTTAAATTTCTGTTTTAAGAGCAAACTAAGACAAAAGCAAAAGCTCATTATTCCAACATATGATGAAGAGGTAACATCTTCATTATAGCTAATATGTAAGATTATACTTTGCCTGCAGTTCAGATAAAGGTGTAGTGGTCAGGATCTCACAAAAAAGTTTTCAGAATTTATCAAACATTCAGCTATTAGGGCGGAGGATTTAGCTCAGTGGTTCTGCCACCTGCCCTGCAAGCAGGTCCCAAGTTCGATCCCCCGTACCAAAAATAAAAATAAAAAAATTCAGCTATTAAAACCACAGATCTTAATAACACTAGGTAACCACTAATTAAGAAAATTATGACAATGCAAGAATAATTTAAAAGTGGCTTCGACAGTTCTATACTGGGAACATAGTAAACATTCCACAAATCCTTTTTTTTTTTCTTTGAGAGAGGGTCTTGCTATGTAGCCCAAGTTGGCCTCAAACTCCTACAGTAATCCTCCTGCCTCAGCCTCCCAAGTACTGATTACAAATGCATAACACCACACCCAGTTTATCATTATTATTTCTAACCAATTAATAATCTTACCTATACCATTACCTCAATCATAGATTGTGATTAAAATATCTTAATAGATTTTTCCCTTCAAGCTTTGATTAGTCATCTTTTCAAACATATGTAGTCTACTATTAAAATATATTCTAGGAAATGTTTAGTCTTTTCAATCTTTCTAACATATAAAGGGTATGTTTCTTTATTCATGACAGAAAAGATATTAAAATATTTAAGAAGTTAAAAGAAACTTAAATGTCATGTTATCAAGGACTCATGCTACAGGCAAGAATATGAAGGACAGAGAGAGATAGTCTAATCTAACTTTTAAACTACTATTAAAATTAAAATGTGAACAGACAGTAGATGGTGGTATATTATTCTTTATACTATAAAAATTTTATAAATCCTAATCTATTCAATTCCTAATAAGTGAACTGCAATATACAAGATGACAGACATCAATAAAAAAAAAATAGTATGTTTCAAACTGAACAATAAAATGGGACAACACCAGCATCATGTTTCAAATACTTTTACAGGGGCAATCAAACCAGTGTATATCCAAACTGATCACCAATTTAACAATACATATATTATGATGGGCTTGAAATTTTTAACAATGAAAACAAAGATTATCAAACCTTTTTGATGATAAATTCATAAAACTTAAGCCCATTTAAACTAATTTAAGTCTTTTAAATAATTCAAAAATCATTTGATTTCCACTGTTCTAAGAAAACAAATCCAACTGTCCATAAACAACCCTGATAAAGTACAGTACACACAAGTTCAGATAAACAAACACAAATAGTTCCTACTTTTTTTTTTTTTTTTTGGTACCAGGGATTGAATTCAGGACCCTGCACTTGTGAGGCAAGCATGGCGCCACTCAGCTAAATCCCTGACCCAGAATAGTTCCTACTTTTAAGATAGAACTGGTATAATGTTGTATAAGAAAATGTAGTACTTTCTTGTATCATTAAATTTCTTAGCGTGACTTTACCACATCATTTTCATAACCTACAACATATCATAATTAATTTAACCACTCCCCTTGTCTTAAAAACTGAATTTCAACAAATGTTACAAAAATTAACCTTATACATAAATCCATATATGCATCCCTGATTATTACCTTGATATAAATTCCTAGAAATGGAATCAAGTCAAAAAATATGAAGATAAATACTACAACACTTCTTTCCAGAAGGGCTGCACCAAATTGATACACTCACCATAAAGGTGTGAATTCCATATTGTCATTTTTTTTCAACTGCCAATTTAATGTTTTATACTTCGCAACTAAGGTGATTAAATAGGAACAAAGGGTTTAGGGTTAAGAATCTAAAATGGCGAATTCATGCTGAGAACATACCATATCCTTTAATGAGCAAGGAAATAAAAGGTTGATATCCAGTGAAAATTAAGAATATTAACATGAAATACTTTGAGCTTTGAGATAAATAGGAAACACAGGTCACAGAATTATCCATCAATGAAGAAAGCTTCCTGAACTGTGATGGGGGGTAGCAAATAATACTTTTGGAGATGGTCTCTCCATTATTATGAGATTATAACCATCTTACCTTTCTGGTGTTAATATGAAGCATTTTTTATAAGTCATGTTAGTAGTTTTTTGGTTCTGATAATTAACAAGACAAAAATGAGAAAGGCTGGTTCTGCTATTCTTTGAAGTAAAGTCTGGGAATAATGCCATAATGCACAGGTAAAGCAAATATAAGAAAACTATTCATTTAAGAAAATGAAGCTTTTTTTTTTTTTTTTGGTACCGGATATCGAACTCTGGTCCTTGCACTTGTGCAGAAGAAAACTAAGCTTTTGCAAAGCGGGAAAAAACAAAAACAAATACAACCAAATACATAGTAATTCATTTGTCCAAAATCTGGAATTAACAGAACTGAACTTGGCATTTAATTTTTGACTAGATATGTTTTGAAACCCTGGCAAAGGAAACAAAAGTTGGAAAAAATAAAATAAATATTAACAATAAAAAAGTTTGGGTGTGAAAATATGGATAACTTACTGTCTTTTTTCTTTTCACTTTAGTGTATTTTCAAGATATTCTATGTATATGCACAATTTATTCAAACTGAATTTTTAAATGTAAAATAATTTAATTTTAAGGTAAAGTTTTAATTATTATTTTAAATAAATAATTCTGAAACAAAATGAAAAATTAAGTATGTGACCAGGAATCTTACTAATGCTTCCACCAATTAAAATGCTAAATTTGCCCTTTTTTTTGGTACCAGGGATTGAACTTGTAACCTCACACTTGCAAGGCTGGAGGGAGAACCACTGAGTTTAAATCCCCTGCCCAATAAAATGCTGAGATGGAATAATGGAGAAATAATTTTGCTCAGTCATTCACTACAAATAATTTCTTATGCTAGGGCAGACGTTCAAAGATACTTTCTGACAACCCATCTTGTCCCTGAACTACTCTTTTTTAAGGCACCGGTATGATAATCTTTTGGATCCTACTATTAGTAAATGACTCTACAAAGACATACCCAATTTGGCTGCCATCTCCCCATTCCCTACCAAAAAAGAACCATAATATCGCAGGACCTCACAAAACTATGCTTCCCAATTCTGACTGCTGATCCACATATTAAGAAACATTATGTCGTCTCCTTTTCCCAAAACCCTTAATGCAGAAGTATTATTGTAAAGGCACCAAATCATTCCAACTTCCTCAGCCTTGAGTTTTCTTGTCTTTGACAAAGTTGCTGATATTAACTATTATCTGTGTCAGAATCTAAATATATAAGGCACCAAACAATACAATAAAAAGATGCTTTTAAATAGGTTTTTTTCAAACATCACTACATTGTCATAATTTGTTATAGAGCATATGATACTGATATAGGAGAAATGTAACTCCTAACCTGTTGGATGTTAGATGTGCCAAGTTCATGTTCTATGAAATCCAAGAATGAACTTTAAAGGACAATGGAGTTAAGAGTAGGGAAGGTTTATTGAGAGACGGCTCCTGAGGTTTTGAAGGTAGGCTGTCTCTGAGGTCCATTGTTAGAGGTAATTTATACAGCAAACTCATAATATGGATAAAATGTGGGTCAAACTATAATCAACGTATAGGATTACAAGTATAGCTGCTTAGCTAATATTGACCCAATAGGGAAGCAGGACACATAGCAAGAGTACACAAAAAGAACAAAGGCACTTGGGGAAGGGAATGTCTGGTCACCCACCTGGGGAACTGATGCTTAGCTGGACTTCCTGGACCAGGTGATGCTAATTACAGTGTAATTTCAAGTTACTGTTTATCCCTTAAGGAAGCATGTAGGTCTGGCCATTCCATCTTTATCTTGAGACCTGGTCTTTTTCAGATGCGCCTCCAGCTGCAATTTTGATGTCTTTCTTTTTTCTACTGGCTTCTTTGAGAGCCCAGTCTCACTCTGGCTTTATATTAATTTCTACCTGACTTAGCTGTTTATAGTAATATTATTCTGAAATAAACTACCAGCATCTCAACTCATACAGCAGGTCACATTTTATTAGTAACTCACAACTTCTAATATTTACCAATAATTCATTTTTTGGTAGGTAGCAATTGTTAAAATGTTTCAAATGTTACATGTTCAGAACTCAAGCTCCATAGATTACCAATGTTTAATCAGGAACAAGACAAGGATGTGCACTATCACCACTCTTATTCAATATAGTTCTGGAAATATTAGCCAGAGCAATCATATAAGAGAAAGAAATAAAAGGAATAAGGATAGGAAAGGAAGAAGTTAAATTATTATTTGCAGATGATAGAATACTCTACCTAGAAGACCCCAAAAATGCCACCAAAACATTAGATTTAATAACCAAATTCAGTAGCCTAGCTGGAAACAAAGTCAACACACAAAAATCAATAGCCTTCCTGTACATGAATAATAAACTCACTGAGAGAGAAATTATAGAGAAACTACACCTTTTACAATAGCATCTCAAAAAAATGAAATACTTAGAAATCAATCTAAGGAAGGAAGTAAAAGACTTTTACATTAAAAACTACAGTACAGGGCCAGGAATTTAGCTCACTGGTGCCTCCGCCTGCCTTGCAAGCTCAAGGTCCCGAATTCAATCCCCAGTAACAAACAAACAAACAAAAAAATCCCCTGTTCTTGGGTAGGAAGAACCAATATAATAAAAATGGTCACACCCCCAAAATTATGATAGAGATTTAATCCCAATCAAAATACCACTAGCATATCTCACAGAACTAGAGAGAACAATCCTAAAATTCATTTGGAACCAAGACACCTAGAATAGCAAAAGTGATTCTAGGCAACAAAGGAAGGCTGGGGGCATCAAAATCTGACTTGAAATTAGATTACAAAGCTACAGTGATAAAAACAGCATGGTACTGGCAAAAAAACCCCACAGAGACCCAAGGATCAATGGAACAGACTAGAAGATGCACAAACAACTCCAAATATACTCAGCCACCTTATCTGTGACAAAGGGGCCAAACACCTTCACTGGAAGAAAGACAGCCTCTTTAATAAATGGTGCTGAAAAAACTGGCTTTCCACATGCTTAAGATTAAACCTATACCCACATCTCTCATCATGCACTAAACTAAAATTGAAATGGATCAAAGATCTAAATATTAAAACAGAAACACTAAACCTGCTGGAAGGCAGAACAGGTAGAACTCTTGAAGACACAGGTGTAGGCAAAGACTTTATGAACAAAACCCCAATCACAAAGGAAATATCACAAAAAATCACAAAGAACCGGGATCTCATCTTATTAAAATGCTTTCGTACAGCAAAAGAAACCACGAACAGAGTGAAAGACAACCCACAGAATAAGAAAAAAATGTTGCCAGCTGTTCCTCAAAGGACTAATATCTAGAATATGTGGCCCTCAAATTTAAAGACCCAGTCCAAAAATGGGCATCTGAAATGAACAGACACTCCTCAGATGAAGAATCAGAAACAGCAAAAAAAAAAAAGAAAAAGAAAAAAAAATGTTCAACATCACTATCATTTGAGAGAGGCAAATTAAAACAACACTAAGATTCCATCACATTCCAGAAAGAATGACTATTACCAAGATAATCAATCAATAACAAATACTGGTGGGGCTGTGAGGAAAAAGGACCCTTTTCTACTGTTGGTGGGAGTGTAGACAGATGCAACCACTGTAGAAATCAGTGTGGAGATTTCTCAAAAAACTAAAACTGGAAGTTCCATTTGACCCAGCTATTGACACTATTGGTATCTTCCAAAAAAAATTAAAAGCATTATACCACAACAATATATGCACTCTCATGTTTATAGCAGCAGTTTATAATACCTAAATCTTGGAAACAGCCCAAATGCCCATCAACCAATAAATGGATAAAGATGTGGTTTTGTTTATAGAATAGAGTACTACTCTGTCATAATTGAGACATTTCTAGATAAATGGATGCATCTTGAAATCATACTCTTAAGTGAAATAAATCAAACACACATGTTCAAAATCGCACGGTTTCTCTGGTGTAAGAAACTGAAATAAGGACCAAAATGTGTAACAGATACTGTGAAATAGTAAGAAAATGTTCAAATGGGAAGGGGAACTACGGAGGAGGGAGGGGAAAGGGAAAAGATAAAAAGAGACTAGAAGGACAAAATGGAAACAAATCTTTTGTAAATAAGGAGGGAAAGAGGGATTGAAGGGAGGGATGGTAAAGGGGAAAAAACGAAGAATCAAGATATATGGTGTACAAGTACAAATTCCATATGATGAATGTTATCATTATGTATGTCAAAAATGTACCAATAAAATTAACTTTAAAAAAAAAAGGATATCACTGTTTTTCTATTTTGGTCACTGTTATATTCCCAGATGCTAAAGCAATACACCTAGCATTTATTTAGTGGGCACTCAGCAAACATTCACAAATGAAAAAATGAGTACTATGTAGGCTAAAACACTTTGTCCTGTTAGCATAATCTTCAGAAAACAATATTCCCAACTGTGGAAATATCAACTCAAGACAGATCAGGCCCTAGACTTCCTTGCAAACTGTCTTTTACCAAGTCAGCATCAAATTTTCCACACAATTTCCATGTCACCAGGTATTCATCCATTTGATAAGTTAGTCATTAAATATCTCAGAGTCCTAGTATAATAACCATAAATCTTTTGTTTTTATCTTTAACACATCTTAAGAGTTCAGCTGAGTAAAATGCGTAAAGTAGCTTCTTTCTTATTGGGTTGTATTTATTATACCAAAGATCATTAAATATGAAAATAAAGGTCCCAATCAGATCTGCTTAGTCTGTCATATATTTCTAGGAATTTTCAAAACTGTAAGAATTCTCAGACTTATCTTATGAATGGCACAAATTACAAGTGTTTATCTATTAGTCTGCCACTATGAATAGGGCAAAGCACAGATTTTATCAGAATGGCCTTATAAACAATAGTTAACTGGACTGAGTTAAAAATCTGGGGTCCAATTTGAAAAAAGTTTTGTGAAGATAAAACGTAGTTGGGGAGTGCAGTTCATGGAGATTAAAAGCTTCTTTGACCAGCAAGAAAACCATTTAATTTGTCTCAAATGAAAAATTAAGAACAGATGATTGGCACTTGAGCTTATTTTTATATGCCTTGTAAACATTCATCTGCCTCAAGATAATGGGTCCACGTTACAGTAGTTAGTCCTTTGAATAAAAAAGTGAATATAGAAAAACTGTCATGAAATACAAACACAGTGAAATGTTTTCATAATATTTTCCAGCAAATAACATTTCTTAAACATTAAAGCAACAAAACAGCAAATACAATTTTGTAGATATTAGAAAGAATTTTTTAAAAGCTATCTGAAGGCAAGGTTAACAGGAAAGACACCATAATGAAGTTTAACTACATTTCAGTTTTAGAAAAGTAGGAAAACTCCCATAACACTTACTTTGTAAATAGTGCAAAACCATCAATACAAGGCTATAGCTGCTTAAAGTACCACGACTGGCATCATTTATCTCATGATGATTTGCCCACTTCTTAATCACCAGCACTAATGGCCGAACTCGATTTTCAACTGCAAGTAAAATTAAAACTTAAAAATGGTGAAAGGAGAGTACAATTTCTTTGAAAATTTAGATAATTTCCCAACTCCCATTCCCATTAAAAATGCCTCCTGTGCCCTAAACTCTGTCTTCACCATAAATGTGTCACTTACTTCTAAACTTACCTTAGCCATCTTTTAAAAACTATTATTTATTAAAATGCATTTGATTTACCTGTAACTCCAGCAGTGTATGACTCAGGGTAGTAACGTACAATACAAATAAAACACAAATAAATAAATAAAACCTAAACAGAACAAAAGGGGTGCTGCTACTATAGACATTTTTAAAAAGAAATGAAGAATGAAAGAAAAACAGAAGCTGATAATTATCTAGAAATAAACCAAAAACTTACGGTATGCATAAGTTCTGAGAAGGAATGTGTTTCTTATTCCAACAATATTGTTTACATTCAAGTCAAACTCCACACAACTATTTAAGAAAACAAAGTAAAGCAAACTTTAGCTCAAGTACAAACAACCTCCCTCCCAAGTAACTACACTGACACCAATCCATGCATTGACTTCACAAGGGCACCCCAAGCCGTGTTTTCTAAATGAGGAACAAAAGAAGTAAGAATAAAAACATATTTAGCATGTAGTTTTAATCTGATTTGGTATATACTAAAAATATAAACTAAGATTACTGTTAAAAGATCTGTAACCTACTGATAAGACTCCAATTACTTCTGAGTAATTGAAAGAAAGAAAAGAAAGAAAAATTTAAATCTTGTAACTTTTCCAGATGAACAAATTATGGACCAAAAACATTTCTGGGCAAGAATCCACCCACTAAGTTATCTGTACATAAATAATTTGGAACTATAGCATTGTATACTTTAAAACAATAGGAATAAAAAGCCAAATAAAATGCAAGTGAAAAAATAAAACAATAAAGGCTCTATCTATGCATTCTATTCCTTCTTAAAAGGCTGGTAAATTATAATACCATGTCAAATGTAGCTACTGGTATCTAGGAAGAGCTGTAATACTCAAACACATTAGAGAAGGGATACGGCTTTAAAAGCAAAAATATGCTATTTGCAATTTAGAAAACAGAGCAATACTGATCAAATTTATAATAATTATAAAATCTACAATCAAGTAAGAATTGCTTTATATATGTTCCACTTAGATCCATAAACCATGAGATATTCTTCTGAATACTCCATTTTTCTATGAAAAAAGACTGCCTAAAATAAAAATGAATTTTCTTTCTATAGCATTTAATTATAAAATTTTAAATTTAACTTTTCAATTTCCCATGGGGAGCCAAAGAAACCTTATAATCTTTCCATTAACCTTATTTACTAATAAAAATGAAGAATGGTATTAACACTTCAGATATACATATCTAACTTTGGGATACTTATAATAACAACAATTACATTCTTTAATTAGACTCGTCTAACATTGGAGCCAGTCTGTACTTTTACCATATAACTCAAAAGAGATGAAAACATACACACTAGTTTGCAATTAAAAGCTTTTCAAAAAGGTGAATTCAGAGCTTTAATGTTATCCACAGAAATGGTTTCAAATTCTACTTTTAGAAATATTTAGAAATATTAAGAAATCATAGATATGGAAAGAATTTTATAGTAGCTGAAAACCAGAAATAAACCAAATGTTCAAATTTACAGGAATGATTAGTGACAATTTACTCAACAAAATATTGTACTCACTAAAAATGATAACACAGGAAAATATTTAACGATATAAAGAAGTACTCATGACATATAGTAAAATAAAACTATCTCAATTTTATTTTTAAAAACTCTTGTGCATTCATCTTCATACAGAAAGAGACTAAAAGATTTACACCAAAATGTTTAGGAATGGAGTGCTTTGTCGGTTTGTGTATGGCAGTAATGGTGAACCTTTTAGAGCTTTCAATGATAACAAACTACTCGCTACAGCACATGTGCCATAGGTTCACCATCACTGGTCTATGGGGTGTTCTGGGTTTTGTTTTTTATTTTTGTGTGAGTTGTTTGTTGTTGTGGTTGTTGTTTTGTATTGTTTTACAGTGTTAGGGATGGAACCCAGGGCAAGCTCTCTACCACTGAGGTACTATACCTCCAGCCCATTTGGATTTGTAGCAAGAAAAACTATGAAATGCAGTTATACAGAATATTTAACCAAAAGTTTATATAACAATCTTAAAAATTTTTATGTAACTATAAGTACAACTATATATACTTAAAATTATAATTAGTTACTATTATTTCTTAAGTTTATCTCCCTATATATTTTACATCCTATTATTGTTGTGAACCTTGTTGTGGTTGTTGTTTGAGACAGGATCTCACCATGTAGCTCAGGGTGTCCTGGAACTCATTCATGATCCCCGTCTCAGCCTCTGAAGTGCTGGGATTATAGGTAAGTAACACCTCACCTGACTATTTTATGTCTAACACTACTTGGCAGAAAGTCAGTATTTATATATTGAATGGATGTTTAAATGAATGGAAAAAGAAGGTCTCAGCCAAGTACTAAGGTTTAAAATATATTTTTTCAGTCAATTCTTGTCATTGAAAGTAGTTATGTTCTATAAAATTGCTGTAAACATTGAATAAGCAAATAATGAACCCTTGCTTCTACTAGAGATTTAGGGTTAGGTTTCAGCCAACCTGGTTACATCTTCAATATGATACATAATCTTGATTTATGTTATGTTTCTGTTTAAAAACATCTTAATATTTATCAACAGTATATTCATGGAGTTATAACTCATGCAAATGAGTTATAGTGCTCTTGCCTACCATATGAAAGCTTTGATTTCCATCCACTATACCACAAAAAGGAAGGGAGGGAGGGAAGTAGAGTGGGAGGAGGGGAAAACTGTTCCAAAAATATCTGTTTAGTATATATTTAACATGTTTTCTCCATAGAGTACATCACAACCTTCTCACACTTAGTAACACTAGGCCACACCCCAGTACTATGCTTGAGGGCCACTCTACACAGAAAAAGCACAAAAAGACTGTAAGAATGACATTTGTTTGCAGCGTGAAAGCTGAAACAAAAAGGCAGAATGGACCTTATACAATCTCAGCTGAAAAATGGGAATCAGGTGACTCAAAAATTTTTTATCATTGTATGTCCTTAAATGATCTACCTCTAAAACATGTACAGTGTATAAATATTGATGGAGAGGGATACAAATAAATTTCAAGCAAGCAGTCAAATTCTTAAGTAAAGAATCCATGAATAAGAAAGCTCATCCCTGTGTGAACATGTGTACTTGTGTGTATGTACAATTTTAGTATTGCTTTCGTAAAACTAGGCTAGAAAAACCTGATTTATCACAATCCTATTTTTTATAAAACAGTAACCAATCTTTAACTAAATAACACCCAATCATTTACATTTTATATTCAAATATTACATGAAAGATTCTAATACCAGGCTGTGAAAATATATAGAAAAACAATCAATTTTGAGATGGAATAAGTACATTTTGCTTTCATATCTATTATTTTGTTACATGTATCTTTCATTAAAATGAATCATAATTTGTTTAGTAATTAACAACAAATTCCTTGATATATATACACATCAAATTCATCAACTAAAATATGTTCTGGAGAATGCATTACACTTCCAAAAGGCAAAAGATCATTTAAAAATCCAAATATACATGTTTGAGGTATGATCAAAATATATAGTGAATGCTGAAATTTTACTTTTAAAAAATTTTTTTTTACTTTGAGATGCAGTCTCACTACCATAGGTAGTACAGGCTGGCCTTGAACTCACTACGTAGTCCAGACTGGCCTCAAACTCCTGGTGATCTGCTGCCTCAGTCTCCCATGCACCAGGATTATAGGTGTGCACCACCATGTTCAGCTATGAATGCTTAAATTTTAAAAAATGTATTACAGTGCAAGATACATTAATCCCCCTCAAAATACTCCCATAGCCTCAAACTGCTTCAGAAACTGGTAAGAACAATGGAATACATATTTGCAAAATGAGGGAGAGTATTTTGAGTGGGATTAATGGTAATGTTTCTTTTACTATAATACATTTGTTTAATTTAAACATTCACCAAATTTGTCAATCGCACATTCACACATATTCTTTTTTTTTTTCTCACATATATTCTTTAAGTTGGATAGTCTCAAATACTCAAATGTCAAGCAGAGTAAGTACAGTTGAATATGAGGAAGACTGCTCAGAGTATTTAAAAAAATTTCAAAACCCAAGTGATTTCTAAAACCTGATGATAAGCTGTTGTACTACAATATACATTTAACTATCTATATTAGATGTATTTCTAAAAATAATATAAAGCAACTCATAAAAAAGACAGTTCAGTACTTACCTGACTTTATCCCTGAACTTCACAATTGGCACTTTTGCTCGAATCAGTTGAGGTCTGTCAATGTAGCCGGCTGCAAGATAAAAGGCAGCATGAATTCTGCCAGTATTTCCCAAATTCGTGTTCCAATGCACATTTTCTAAAATAGTATTTTACTAAGCTAAAATTACTTAAGAAAATTTGTCTTTGAAAATGAAAGCAAAACAATGAGGGCATTATGAAATTCTAAGATTGAACAGTTTAGGGCTACCATTTAGAAGACTTTACATTAAGGTTATTTTCAGAAATGGGGTCTAATATCTAACAGTACCTATAAAGAAGTGTATCAGAATAGGCTGGGCGTGATAGCAGAACATTATAGGAGTGAAAAAATAAACTAACATCAAGGGGATGGCTAAATTCTAGTATGACAGTAAGAAACGGTAGCCACAGAAATCATTTTTACAGTTTTAAATATGGAAATGCTTACAATGTGATATGTGAAGCAGGGATACACTGAAGTATGAGCTCTAACAGCAAAATACATATATACATATTTTTATGCTATTGAACTTTAAAAAAAATCTATTCTGAGTTTCAAGTAATGTATGTACATTTTAGAAAATTAGGAAATCAGAGAAATGTATAAAGAACCTTTTCCAAATGAATCATTTCCTACTTTTTTAACTACAGAAAAGGACAGAAGCAGGTTTTAAAAGAAAAACAATTTCTTACTGTTTTTAACAATTAAAATGATAAAATGTATGTATCAAGCATCAAAAGAATTTATGTGAAAGAAGTCAGCTTTAATGAAAAATTAGATTAGTAGTTAATAGTTTTGAGTAACAAGTATCAGTTCTGACACCAATACTACGTTCCATAGGAAAGTTACTAAACCCAATCACTTGTCTCCTTAACTGTTAAAAACAATATCCAAGCTGGGCATGGTGGTGTACGCCTGTAATCCCCGCACTTGGGAGACAAGGCAGAAGGATCACTGCAAGTTCAAGGCTAGCCTGAACTACATAGTGGAATCTTGTCTCGAAAAAAATCTAAAAAAGAAAAATATCCAAAAGGAAACAAATCTATTTCATTTGAAGGAGATAATCTGTAAGACCCTTTCCAATTTTAACATTTTATGATTCTAATAATATCCATTAAAACTTCATTTAAAGTTTGAATTACTCCCTTATTTTCCAGATGCAGTTAAGTTATATCCACTGAAATAAATCACTTGGCTTATTTCTCTCTTACAATAGGTCTCAAGTTGTTCAGGAGCAGTAACTCATTACCTGACTTTGTATTTTCCAGCTCAAAGCCTCCCAAAAGTTATCTGCTCAACAAAAGGAAAAATACCTTTCCAATATCATAGTAGTTAGTGTGACTTCAACTTTCTTTAAAATTTTGTAGACATTTAAAATAAATTAATAAAATAAATCTTATGTGGATTAAAACCTGTTTAGATTCAAGCTTACTAAAGAATAAAATCTTACTATATGGCGTTAAGTCAACAATTTTGCTTTTTTTTAGAATAATAGAGTTGGGCTTCATGTTCAATTTTTTTCCTGGTATCAGGGATCGAACTTAGAACCTTTACCCAGGTAGGCGTGGTGCCACTGAGCTACATCCCCAGCCTGTGTTCATATTTTTAAAATAATTAAAATGCGTATCGTTACAAAACAGATGAAATTTTCTCTCTCTCACATAAGTACGTATAGTACTTCATATGTGTCACCCTTTGGGCTTTTCAGATACTTGGCATTATAGCAATTCATTCATGCCTTAGTTTCTTTCCCTAATGAACTACATCTTTTGAGAAAAAGAAGTTTATGTATGTCTCACTACATCTAGTGAGATACTGAGCAAATAAGCTCATTAAGATCTACTGAATGGTCATTTTTTTAGAGTTAAAAGGAATTTAGATGGAAAATAGGATCTACATTATACCTGACCAGAAAATAGTTCTTACCAGAAAACAAAGTGAGAAACATTTTAAACAGCTATTTCAGACAGATGATATGAACTTGAGATATGTCAGACTTACAAAGTCTAGTACAGAAGTGTTTATGGACTAACAGGAGTATATGCCGTGCTTCAGTCTTCTGATTTACCTGAAAAAAACACTGAAAAGTTAAAAAGAAAGTCATTTTTCATCTTACTTAGCCTAGTGATACATCGTCTTAACGTATTTCAACAACAACAACAACAAAAAAAAACATACAAAGTATGCTTCTCTTGGACTTTTTAGTATACACCAAATTACATTATAGAAAAAGTCAACCTTTAATTTCTGAATTTCACATCCATATTTCTAAATTCCAGATTTTAAACTTAAAGGATGATTTTTAGAGAAATTCTGAAAGTCATGTCACATTTTCCTTTCACTTAAATGTATAAAATTAATCTTCCCCAACAAAAATAAATAGACTTTTAAACTCTCTCAATAGGTTTAACTCCCTATCTAGACAGCTGTTCTGGGGGAGGGTTTCAGTTTTGGGGTCGAGACAGGATCTTGCTATGTAGTTTAGGCTGGCCTTGAACTAACTACATAGTCCAGGCTGGCCTCCAACTCACAGCAATCCTCCTGCCTCAGCCTTCGAAGCACTGGGATTACAGGCATGCACCACTGGACCTGGCTCTTATGAGCTTCATTTGAATATAAGATGATTCAGACACATGATTAAGACTGGAGGAAGGACTTGAGTTATAGTCTAACTGCAAGAGTGTATTTTAATTGCAACTATTGTAAACTCTATTGTTTATAATTTGAGCCTCCCCCTTCCATTATATGATTTCAAAACAGAAAAATATCAGTTTCTTTCCTGGAATGAATCTGTTACTCATTTGCAGTAACTAGAAGTTGTTTTTGTTACTGGAATAACATGAATAGTAAAAATATACACTGCCTTCAATCGTTTTTTTATATGTTTAAAGATGTAGAACACAAGGTATATTAAAATTATACTGATCTTAATTTAAGCTTTGGTAACTCATTGCTTCTCGGGCCTTTTCGCTGAGATCAAGTGAATCTTTGGTAATTCAGAGGAAACCTCGACCCCTTAAAGAGTCTGCTTCAGGTCAGCTTAGTAAATACCAATTTTTGTGATATTGAGGTATTCACAAGAGAATGGCTAACAGTAATTTCAAATTAATGTAATTCCAATATAATACTTTGATTGTTAAACAAAAATAAATAAAACCAAAATGTTTCAGAAAATACATTAAATTTTATAAATCATAATAGTCTTATTTTAAACTTCAGTGAAATCTTTCTTTCTGTCTTCCCAAAATAAAATCTCCAAACCCCACAGCACTTGAAAAGGAAAAAAAAATGAATTAAAATAGAATCACTGAAAATTGAAATGGAAAGGAAATACATCAAGAAGATAATACTGCCACATGCTCTTTGCTGCATCCTGATAAATGTATCCAACCTACTGACATTTCAAAATAGAGGCAGAACTCTTTAAAAATACAACTTAGAACTAAATTAATGTTAAGAGTTCCTGTTATGCACATTGCACACATACTTTAAATTTAAAGAGTAGCATTTTCTGAGTTTCTTGGAATTATGATAAACAAAATCCAAAGAAGCAAGTTCTTTTCCTCAATAACTTTTATGTGAAATTTTTTAACTGATAAAACAAAAAATAAACTTGGAAGAAATAAATGTTTCATTACTTACTGGTTCTTCTTTAACAACTAGGCATAAATCACCATCACTACTCCGGGTACCAAATCCATTTAGAGAAGACCCAACCAAAAAAAGTCTGCTTTCTAAAGAAACAGAAGGAAGTTCTAAGATATTATTCACATTGTAAAATAGGAATGCATAACATAAAGAGCATTCACAATAGGAAGACATACGTGGAAAAAGCAGCTGAATTTCTCTCTGCAGCTGTGTTCGACAGAGCTCTTTCTTCTTTAAGTCACTTATTTGCTGCTGACATGTTTCAAATAACTCCAGTATCTGCTGACTCAACTTGAATCCACCACAAAAAAAAGCAAAAGTTTTGTTCAGAAATGTAAAGTAAGTACCATACTGAGAAGTGAAAATCAATTCTGCTGGCATTATTTTTTTAAATAAACATGGATTAAAATCTGAACACTTTCTAATATAAAACTTATTAAGTATAATTATGGGTCACCAAACCACCATCCTTGGTCCCTGTCTTGTTTTTCGTGTGGCCCATGAGCAAAGAATGGTTTTATATGCTTAGGTGACAAAAACATCACAGAAACCATGTATGAGTGGCATATCCTAAAGTATTTCCTATCTGATCTTTTAAAGACATTAGTCCAATCCCTAGTATTCACATTTAGGAATGTCAAATACGGACTTTAGGAAGTGCTTAGTCTTCTCCGCTCATACAAACCACTGTCTTCTGTAATTTTACAACACTAATCCATACCCTGACCTCTTCAGAGGTGACTCCCACCTGTGTACCTCCCTTATCTACATATCTGCATAACACCTTCCCCTCCAGCCCAACTCCTGCCATCACTACGGGTGAGCTGTAATGGGCTACAACTGTCACAACAATACTGCGGTCTTTACAATAAACTGGAACCACTCTAGCTCTGAAATTTTAAATTCCAATATACTATCTTAGTTTCAATCTGCTGTTCAACTCTCACTTTCTTACTCCCCTCATACAGTACCTGCTCTAGACTGACAAAGGATATTGATTCCCTTGAATCTTCCCTTTTTTTTCTCAACCCATCAGCATCTGAATAGTGTGATTTCCTTCCTGTCCAGCTGATACCTCAAAATGCATCCCATCAGGCCTTACCAACATTATCTCCTTGTCATGCTTTTTCTGTCCTGCAAAATATTAACCTGAGGTCAACAGAAAAATCACCCTCTCTCCTCTTACATCTAAGCTGTTAAAGAGACAAACTGAAAAAAGTCTTCCAAAGAAATTTATAGTCTAAGGACTAGTTGAGGGTTGGTGCTTTTAACATCACTCAGCAATTACTTTTATGTCTCTGGTTAAATGTTAGCCCCATTCATTTTTCACCATACCATTCCAGAAAAATCACTACCTTCCTCAAGCCCCCTAAGTTTATGTGTCTCTAGCAGATCAGCTCATAATAAGTTCACTAAAAAGGACATGGAGGATATTAGATGTGGTGATATTCCTCAGCTTCCAAAAAGACTTGCAAGCTAATTTGAATGAAGACTCATCTCTTCATCTCTCCTGCCAGATGAATAGCCTTCTTCCCACATTCAAAGCTAACCCCTTTACCAATACTTTCGCATCCAAGGCTAGTCGCCTCATGGACACAAATACTTTCATCAGTTTTTCAATCTCTCAATTTGTATTTTCAGTTTCTCTCTAGGACTTCCTCCAAGGTCCATGAAAATGGAAAACATTTTATCATATTTAGAACATTCATTTTTAGAAGACTGAGCACCCTGGGCAACTCAATTCTAAAAGAGACCAATTTTTTAATATCCTTGGATAACTGCCCCACAAAAAAAAGAAAAGCAACTAAGAGAATAAAACAGATTAAAACTAAACCAAAGCAAAGCATGTGCAACAAATACAAAATAAATTAATTGATGTCCCTTAGAAACCCCAAACATGACCAGTTGGACCCCAACAACAGTAGCAGCAAGGCCCAGAGTACCAGAAACAGTAAGAAAAAAAGAGAATATAGACATAGAAACAGACCCAGAAATCAAATGACCTGCTCCCTCACCCTTCTGAGGGGTCCTCATCTGGTGTGGAATAACACCAATACTGGAATGGAGCTTCACAGGCTATAATTCACAGGTAAATGCAAGGGATTTAAGAAAAGATAAGGGGCCTCAAAAAGTAAATGCAGCTCCCTTCCAAAACAAAGCTACACAGCCAGCCAAAACTTCCAGGAAGAGAAATCTAAAGGAAACAGTCATCAGAGGCAAAAGAAAGGCCTACAATGATTCCGAGGGAATATTTGACAATGCCTGGAAACATTTTTGGTTGGCCTACAATGATTCCGAGGGAATATTTGACAATGCCTGGAAACATTTTTGGTTATCATAAAGGGGTGAAAAGTGTCACTGGCATCTAGAAACTGGGGATGCTACAATGCACAAGATAACCCTCCCATCCCCATACAGATGATTTGGCCCAAAATGTCAACAGGACAGAGGGTGAAAAGTCCTGATGATCCAGATAAAAGTAGAAATAAAAAAGAAAATGCTACACAATAGCAAGAGAGGAGTCCTAGAGCCACTAAACTAGGAAAATTAGCCTGCACAACCCTTCAAATATAAAAATACAGGAAAAAAACCATCTCACTTAAACACAATGAGAAAAAAGAACTCTCAGAAAGAGAAGTGAGATGTGAGAGGATACAAAAATTTTTGAATAACACCTAAAATGGATTCAAATCAATTCCAATACAAAGTTTCTATAAGAAAAATGAAAATGAATCTGTAACATTCCTACAGATAATGAAGCACACCAGAAAAACATGTCCATGAATACATGAACTGTTTAATATAAAAACGTCTTTTTCTCATTTTAATTGTGTACAAAAAAAAATGACTACTGGAAGTCTAAATACTAGCAACACAGTAGCAATTTATACTTTCTAAAATATTTATAATAGCAGCAAAAAGCATAATAAAATAGAAATGTCTAAGTACTATAGACTGAAAACTACAATCTACTGGTGAGAGAGATTATAGATCTAAATAAAGAGATATACCATGTTCATGAAACAAAAAACTAATGGCAAAATGTTAAGTCTCCCAGAACTGATCTCCAGATTCAATCCAATGGAATGATGTGAAGGTGGAAGGAAGACTGGTCATACACTGGTAACTGTTACAGTAACATGATACTGGAATAAAGTGGGGTGATACTGTATGAGGATTTATCATACTGTATTCTATTTTTGTAAATAGTTTGGCAAACTATAGCGACAGACCAAAAACAGCCTCTGGGGTCTGTTTTTTAGGGGCAGCAAGTTAAATGATTTTTATATTTTTAAACAGAAATGAGGAGAAAACAAGAGACAGCGATGCCTAAAATATTTACTATCTGGTCCTTTAGAGAAAAAGTTTGCCAACTCCTCCTGATCTAAAGAATTAGGTAGATCCACATAATCCTAGACATCATGGTAGGTACTGTTACTGCTGAATAACAAAACAAATTTCTTCACAGCAATGCTCAAACAAAACTGTATTACATTTTTAAAGTTGTTTCACCTGAGAGACCATATTCATGTACAAATATTAACATGTGAAAAAAATTTACAACCATGTGAAAAATATGAAAATTCCATATTCTTGCTCCTCTCCCTTTTTTAACCTGCATGGAAACATCCCCTCTCTGGCCCATCCCCTAAAAGGAATATTGTAGCAGGGATCTAATAGGTTTTTAAATGAAAGAATTTTCCTTGCTATCTGGTTACTTAGAAATCCATAATATCAAACCATCTTACTTTATCCTATATCCTAATATAAAGCCTCAAGAGAAATCCACATATATAGTGAAGGAAAAAAAGAAACCCCCCAAAAAAACACTTTTGCTGCTTAATTTAGAGAAATATTTCAGGTTATGGCTCTCTTAAAAGGGGGGCAGGGGACCAGAACTCACAACATGAGATTCCCTTGGCTGAAATCATATGTGATTTAGATCACATATGTAATACCTAACTGACTATTCATAATGGCACTTCAAGAATATTCTTTTATTTAATTTTGTTTCATTCTAGAGTAAATTTTTCTACATTTTTTAATTTAGGAAAACCATTACAACAAATTGCCTATAAAGAATTAAAGTTGCTTAAATCACCCTATTACTACTTGTTGAGGCCGCCTATTAAAATTACTTTAAAATTAATTGTAAAGGCAATCTATTTCTCAGTATAAGTAATGGTGTATTTTGCTCAAGATTGTATGATTACCTATAGTTCAAACTATTAAATATTTCTTCCAAATGTAACTGTTCATCTTTCCTTAAAAAGTATAACCTGTCTTCTAAGTCAAGTTCAAATTAAATTACCAATAAAATCATCACTGAGGTCAACAAATGCCATTACTATAAGGATAAAGTATGAATTTAAGAAAAGTTTTTAAATATATCACTATACAAAGCTTAAGGTATAACTTTCACATAGTATTTTCAGCAGCTTCTCTACTTGTCCATGTTAGCTGGTGTCCATGTAAAAGAAAGCAAAGCAACTTTTAGCTGGAAATACTAAGACCTGATCATTACCACATAGGAAAAAATGCTAAGATTTTGCCTAGGGCAGGGGATTTAGCTCAGTGGTTTTGCCGCCTGCTGCGCAAGCGAAAGGACCCGAGTTCGATCCCCAGTACCAAATAAAAAAAAAAAAAAAGATTTTGCCTAAATGTTAAGTACTATCTTCTACTAACAAACACAAATTAGCAATAAGCTTTCAAAATAGAACACGTAAAATTAAACATGGTCCAGAAAACAGGTCATTAGATCATAAGCATTTGAATAAAAATTAGTAATTCCTCACATTCTCTCATACCTTAGTGTTTGTCACACATGTAACTGTACAAAGAGCTAATACAAATTTACTGAGTAAAATAAAGCTAGAGGGGCTAGGGGTGCAGCTCACTGATACAGCACATGCTTAGCATGCCATGAGGCCCTAGGTTCAATCCCTAGAACCCTCAAAAATAAATGAAGCCAGATGTGTAACAATACTTTTAGTTCCTTAATGTTGAATTCCCTTTTCCTGAAGATTAATTCTAAAATAAAATAGAATCAGAAATACATCATGCCTAAAACAAGTCACTCCTTGTTACCATGTTATTATGTTTTTGGGTATGAACTTAATGTAGAGTTTTCTTAAATTCATACACTGGAGGGTTGAAAAAGCAGTCTGGATAAGGTCTGATTCATTTTTAGGTACATTCTATTAACTGAATTTGGCCAAACAAGAATTGCCTTTAAAAAAGAACATGAAAGAGAGAGGGGGCTAGAAGGAAAAAAATAATTTTTTTTACTA